ACTCCGACGGCAGGTAATGGGTTATCCTTTGGTGGGAATGTTAGAAATGGTTCTGATGATCGTCCCACTGAGTTTGATGGTGTCACATTTTTCCGAAATGTGCTTTTCCAATTATTTTAATAATAAGGGTTGATCCCAGCCTGACGGCAATAAGGGGTTGTTCTTCGAACTAGACGTACTTGAGGGCTATGTTAAAGACTATTCTAAATTTCATGGTGTCACATTTTATTTTAAAAAAGTTGTTTTGTAGATATTAATGTTCTACTTGATGTTTTATTAGGGGTAGTTTTTTGTTTTGTTTTTCTGTTGTACTTTGCCCGAGGGTATATAATAATAATGTACACAAAGTTTGTAAATCAACCATTTAAAAAAAAAGAGCTGCCAAAAAATGGCTGCTAACTTCACAATTTTGGCTGCTACAAATGGCTGCTAACTTCACATTTTTGGCTGCTGCAAAAAGGCTGCTAACTTCACACCGGTTAAAATTAAATGTAATTTTTTCCTGAAGGGAATAATTTTCAATTTTTTCTGTTTCGTTATAAAACTCTTTGATTTTATTCTCGGCTCCTTTAAACGTGGAACCATTGTCGCAGAAAATATTTGCGGGCTTCCCCCTCCGCGAAATAAAACGCTTCAGAGCAGCTAGAAAATTTTCGGTTGTCAGGTCTGAAAGCAGTTCCATATGAATTGCTTTGACTGAAAAGCACACAAAAAGTGCTATGTATGCCTTGGAACTTATGGATTTTCTAATTCGAGATTGCTTAACGAGGAAGGGACCGCAAAAATCTACCCCGACATTTTGAAACACTCTGGCTGAACAGACTCTTTTTTCCGGCAAGGAACCCATTAATTGAGTGGAACATTTTGCTTTGAATTTAAAGCAAATCACACATTTGTGTAGCTCTTTTTTAATTAATCTTATTCCATTTATGAGCCAATAATTGAGGTTTAGGTAAACAATTTTTAATACTTACAATGACATCATAAAAAAGAGTTTCTACATCATCAATTGAATCATCATAGTTACCATCAAGGCACAGAATTTCAACTTGAATGTCTTTAAGCTTTTGAAAACTGTCCTGCAATATTTCCTTCCGAACTAAAAATTGGTCGGTTTTATACTCACTGTCAGGATCAGATTTGTGATCGGAAATATAACGACTTATTCTAACCATGGAGTCGATTGCTTGCTTTTTCTTTGACAATAATTTATCAATTTGCTTTTTGGTAGCCATATTTACAAAGTTTACAATCAAAAAAATAAGAAAATATCAAAAGAAATCTATTAGTTGGGGAGCTGGCGTCAAAAACATGCAAGAGTTTTCGCAAGGCGGATATTTTCAAAATAGGTCGTACTTTAGTGTTAGAATGCTAGTGTACAGTCAGCACTCACAGTTCCGGGACAGCTGGCTCTGGGACGCGGGCAAAGTTGTAATTTCAAGAAGCATCTAAACTGTTTTCTCAAAACTCAAAATTTATAGAAATTTTGCACATTATCTGTTTGAAGGTCACAGATAACGTATGTAAATCGTCAGACGTCTAGTTCGTTGCAAAAAGGGGGTCAGACGGCCTCAAAGTTTTTATTTTATGGCATTTTATTCGGTGTCCTGTCAAAATATATTTTTGCAGGTATTTGACAAATATATTTGAAGAAAATGCCATAAAATAAAAACTTTGAGGACGTCTGACCCCCTTTTTGCAATGAACTAGACGTCTGACGATTTACATACGTTATCTGTGACCTTCAAACAGATAATGTGCAAAATTTCTATAAGTTTTGAGCTTTGAGAAAACAGTTTAGATGCTTCTTAAAATTACAACTTTGCCCGCGTCCCAGAGCCAGCTGTCCCGGAACTGTGAGTGCTGACTGTACACTAGCATTCTAACACTAAAGTACGACCTATTTTGAAAATATCCGCCTTGCGAAAACTCTTGCATGTTTTTGGCGCCACCTCCTGGACTAATAAACAAAATTTAAAATTACCTAATAAATTAGATTTTTTTTTTTTTTAAAAACTACTTAACAAAACGAAAAACGGATAATTGTTCATCCTTTAAATAAATAATGAAAAAATAGCAATAATTAATGCGAAAAATTCAGTTTTTCAAAAATAATGCAAATTCACTCAAATTCACTGCAAAAATCCAAAATACACAAACAACAAACAACAAAACGTAAACAAATGTTTGACATTTAATTTGAGGTTAAGCTGTCGGGGTGGTGAACTCTCACTTTCATGTTCGTTGCTCCGGGGCTGTACTTCATTGCACCAAGCAAGGATACTGCACCCGGGGTGACTTGGGTTGAACCAGACGAGAAAAAGAAGCACCTTTCGGTTCCGGCGGAAACCTTCGCTGGTGGCACGTGGAACCCAACGTTGTTTGAGACACGTGCAGACTGCACAGTGGATGATTGATTTTTTGCATCACATGGCGCCAAAAATCACGATGGAACAATCAATAACCACTAAAAAGGCACTTTTTGAGGGTTTTTAAAGCACTTTTAGGTTCCGAACTATCCAGTATCCGGCTCGAACTGGCCAAAATTATGTGCAAAACCACATAATGGAAGATAAATAACTTGATAATTAGTGGACTGTATAATTAGGTGGACTGGATGATCGACTGGATAGGGAACTAAAACACACGCGCTTTTCACTGACACTATATTTACAACAATTTACACAATATTTACACTATTTACAATTACTACTACAAGATGACAAGAAGCCAGAGCTTGCTTAGATGCCCAACAGGGCAGAGCTAGATTATAAAATTTATTAAAATGTGAAAAGGTTTCTGGATGCTTGTTAACGTGGACAAGCTCCAAGCTACACTGCTGCAATGACAAAAATGGCGCGCAATATATTGACAGACATGACAAAATAGACATGACGACAACGCTGCAGTGTTGCAAACTTTATATGTATAAAAATATTTTGCCATCAAAAAGAGATAGCATGATTGTTGGAACATGTTTCCAACACGCAGTAGCTAAAAAATGTTCGTTGTACTTATCAACCACAACGAGCGGCGTTATTTAAGGAGGAATAACCTTGTGCTTATAGCTATACCTATGGTTATGGTAAAACTGTGTGGATGCTACATTGAAGAAAAATTCCGTTTTTATAAATAATTAACTAAAATCATCTGAAATTCTGAAAAAATAAGTGTGGATTATCATTTTGATGTTATGAAATTGGTTTACATCTGAAGACGCAGGCGCAGTTCATGGCCCATAGGCAAAATAGAAATACCGGAAATATGTAAACGTTAGGCGATGCAAAATCTCTGATTTTGAAGGTCGTGGTCGAGGTCGTGGTAATCGTTATCGCCCATAAAGGTAACCATAACTGATCCAAAAACTGCTGTTATTTTAAGGGGTGCAAAAACTCTCTATTATCGTTAACATCAAAAAATAAGAACATAATCGAAGATAAAAAAATAACACGGAGTATCTCTGGCTGAAAAAAATAGGCTTTGGGAGAAAAAAAAAACGCGAACTACACCAGAAATTAGAAAATTGAGAACATTCTAATTTTATCTCAATTCAATTTCAACGTTTGTTATGTCAACAAAAACATATTATGCAAATGACTTGCGCAGATCATCGCCACTTTGTTAAGGGAGGAATAAGCCTAGATAGAAATTTCTGGGCTTAGTTAAGCTTGTCTTAATGAGACTAGGTTAGACTGGTGGAAACAAAATTATAATATAAGCGGCACTTAACGTTAAGTAAACTTAAATTTCCGTTGGTGGAAACGGCCATTAGTATTCTTTATTTGATTTTCTATCAATTTTTGGTAAAACTTTAACTTCTTGATATGTTTTTAACAAAAGAGACCTTATGTTACATGTAAACATTGTGGAAATGGTTTTAGTGATGGTATTTATTTGCAATTTTTGACATCCACTTATATTATTAAGGAGTCTGAGGAGTCATTTGTGCTCAAGACCTATTAACAACTTTTTAGTGTTTTTTTTCAATACGGTTTTCTGTTGTTGTATTAAAGGCTGTTCTGTTAAAGAAGGAGATAGTACTGAAATGTTGTTTTATTTTCAAAATATAGGGTTTAATGATAAGATGAAATCAATGACATTTGATGAAATTGATTAGACAGATTATTTGAAAAAATGCGGGAACCACGTACCACGTGACTACTGCCACGATACTGGACACACCGAAATGCACACTAGCGCCACCATGCTGTGGCAGTCATACAACTTGCTGCATGAGTAAGACAAGGATAGGTGGGTGGTAAGTCCACCTGCTGTGCCGGTAGTGCAAAATTTTTAGTAATTTAAACTATGGCGCCATCTAGCACCCCAAAGCGGTACTACATAGTGAAGTAATCTATGAAGAATGAAGCGCGAATCAGATGAAACAATAAATTACCAACAAAAACGAACGTCGAAGAAGCGACTTAGCCCGGAATTACAGAAGCTCTGCAAAACCAAGATACAAATGCAAGTCTGACCCACAGCATATACAAAAACAATTGTTTTTGAATATGCTGTGGTGAAACGGTCCCGTATTTTTTTAATAAGTCCTAAAATCTGTTTTTTTTTTAAAGATAAAAGTCAAAATGACAATATGTTGGCAATGCAATGTAAAATTGTCAATGCTTTAAAATTTTTCATGTGGAAAAGGCTTGTGTTGCCAACAAAGTTACTAAATTTTTGACTTGGGGAATTATCTTTAAAAAAAAAACAGACTTTACCAATAACTTTGACACTTTGACATTTAAAACTGGTAAATTAGTAGCGCCCCAACACTTCTTTTTGATAAATATGATGGAATTGCAGATTTTTTTCTGTAATTTTCTCGTTCCTGCAAATAGAGAGCATATGCAAGTCGGCCATATTTGCAGAACTGCAAATTTGCAGATGCAGATGCAGATATATTGTAATTGGGCCCATAAGCACTAGAACGACTGGTACTTGCAAATATTGAAAATTGCGAACAGTCCCACTAACCTGTTTCCATGGTTGGTGACAGCCTAATTCTGACATTTTCTAAATTTATTTTGAAGCACCATCTTATTTTTATATTATTGACAAAATTTTTGCTTACATACTGTGTAGGTAGCATGCAAGAAGGTGTATCTGAATTGAACGGAGTAAGGAGATATAATTTTATGTACACGTTCTCTACCAATTTATTTAAACCGTTTTTTTTTAGTAACATTGGATTGAAAAAGACAGGCGCAAGATTTTGTTGTGGATCTAGGAACAAATAATCCAAGGTAATGTCGACAATTAAGTAAAGACGCAAAAAATTAAAATTTGCTATATAAAATTTAGGATGTAAGTTAGGTCGAAATTTTAGTAGAAATAATTGTAGTTTGTCAACAAATGTCAAAATTTATAGTAAGTGTATTTGCTACTGATACCTAATTTTACATAATTTTTATGTGGAACATGAAAAATGTTTTACCAAAACTGGGGTTTACTAAAATTTCAAAAGATGCCATTCCATGAAAACGTTAGATATCTATTGCATTCAAAGCTAAATCCCAAGAACTTTGTATAACCTAAAGGGGGAATCTCTAATAAAATTATCCCGTATCTCGTAGATTGGAATACCTATTAAAGTCGATGAATTTATTACCTTGTTCCTTGACCATGCAAGATTGCCTGTTTTATTTATTTCCAATATTTTATTTATTTAGATATACATAGGTTCATCATCTTCCATAGGCGTTTTCTACTCTGCGACTATAATTCACCCTCATGGATATTTTTCTTCGATTGGTTTTTGTTCCATTAGGTAAGTACTCTATGATGGAGTACCTAATTTCTTGTCAAGGGTCTAGCTTACTATGTCTTCATATACTCCTCTTTCTAATTTGACCTCAGCACTTTTTTGGTTTTAACCGTAGTATTGCTGTTGCTTGTATTTTCTATATAAATTTTTGCATTTCTGAGTTCTCTTGAGATGCTTCAGTGTTCCACAGTGTCAAACGCCTTCGGAAAGTCTCTAAAGACAATCCATAGAGATTTAATTCATTGTCTTTTGCTTGCAAAATCATCAACTAAAGATAGACCTGAAAGTAGAGACAAAAAATTGACTATAATAAGAAAGGCAAATTCAAAATTCACATTAGCGACAATCCTAAAATAGGATATTTATTTGACCTGGCAATTGACGTCACTCTTTCTCTTTCCTGAACAGGACTGAAAAAGAAATCTTAACCCTATTTCCTCTGTTTGGTTTCAGGTGGATTTTCCTAGACAAAAATAATCGTTTTTGTGCTGATCCAAGTTCAAAGTATCCGTTGATTTTAGACTTTTTTTTTAAAAAGAAAAAATGAATCGCAAGAAGTCGGCAGAGCAAAGCAAAGGTGAAAATACGCCAATGGCGGCACTCCTAAACCAGGTAAAATCTCATAAATTTCTGAAAAATCTATAGCTATTGTTGAAAAACAAATACCTAATAGTTTTATCTCGAATCTCACATTCCAAAAAACGGATTAAAATTAGTAGGGTTCGTGTTCCTATCTAATTAATGAAGGAGGTGTTCTGTCGGTTAGGACAAGAAATAACACCAGTTGCCCAACAACAAACTCACAACACATAAATAACAAATAATCAAAAAATGAAAAGACAAAATGATTACTCAGAGATATCAGACTTAACAGCCAACAGGCCTTCTATTTCTTGTCCTAACCGACAAAACACCTCGTTCATTATGATAATTATTAAGTTTGGCTTCAATTTTCCAAATATACATTTTCAGGCCTCTGCTCCTGGCGGATTTTCATCCCTTGGTTCAATGATGAACAAGTTTCCAGAGCCGATTAAAGATACTAGAGAGAATTCGGAGAGTTCTGAATACGCTAGTAGACAAACGGATCAAATTTTGGAGCCCGAACTGCATTTGAGACGAATGGGTTATTGCAATGACGATCAGGTTTCCTGGGATAAACTAGAATTGCCCAGAAAAAGAAATTTGTATTTGGAGTTATATAGACGAGTGACAAACAAAATGTAAGTAATATTTTGGGTAGATATTTTAGGAGTAGGAATATTATGAGAATATCTGCATTATTTCAAGATAAACCGCTACTTTATAGTAAGAAGGTGTAGCGGAAATGAGACAGAAAAAAAAAAGAGATTGTTACTTGTTCAGCGAGGTTTCGACCATAATATATCTACAGGCTACATAGTGTTCCAAGGAGTTTATAGCATTTTGCATGCTTCCAGAATCATTTTTATTGAGAAACGTGTTATTATCTTCTTGATTCTAAAAGACGTTGATATATGACATTTTCTTTCTGTCTGGCAATCGAGAGAATAGAAGGTTTTGTTGTTAAAAAATTGGGAAAAAGCGCATTTTTGGAATAGGTAATATCAATTTTTCCAAATGAAAAGGGTGTGGCTCATTAGCATAGCTATCCGGAAGAGCATTTCCCAACGAACAATATATTACCACACAATAGAGCTCTAGCTCATTACTTATTATACTCTAATGAAGAAATTTTCTGACATCCTAAATATTTTAGGAAAATTTTAGTTCGATGTTGGAATAAACTAGCTAATCAGGCTTATAATGTATCATTTTCTGTTATTTTAACAGCAACGTTAAGTTGTCTGTCACTGTCAAAATAGAGAGAAGTATATGGGTATTAATCTTAAAAATATTGTCGCGGCTTTGTGTTGCCTGCTGACAGAAATCCTGGGTTCGTCGTTCGTTTCGTTTATTCCAAAAATCAAAGTCCAATTAACACAGCACTAATTTATTCCACTTAACAATACACTCTGACACTAATTACTTTAATAACTAACTCAACAATTAAACTTTACAACTCAATAATCACTATTTAACTCGTATCACAGTCAAACTTTAACTTAACTTGCAAGCTAAAACCCGTCCTTATATATATCCCTAAATCTATTCCTGTAAAATCTAGAACACACACGATAATCTAATTTTCCAGATTAAAGTAGAATAATTCGCTACATTCTAGTATTTACGCCATCGATTCTTGACAGCCTGGCGGACGTTTAGCCCTATTGTGACACTGCCCTCCTCTTAAGGTTGATCGTCCCGATCAACTTCGCGCCCATGATATTTCGCCAATCTGTCCAGATGTACAACTTTCATCTTACTCCTGATGTTGCGTTGGACCCGATAAACCAAATCATTGATTCTCTTGATTATTCTATAGGGTCCTTCCCATGCTGAAGACAATTTCGGCGATACTCCTTTCTGCCTTGCTGGGTTATACAACCACACTAAATCACCTTCTTGAAATCCGACCAAATTGGCTTCCAAGTCGTATCTGGTCTTCATTCGGTCACTGGCTAGTTGAATATGCTCCGGAGCAAAATCATGGATACCCAGAAGTCGTGCCCTTACTTCGTCGGCATAATCTCGGATTTCTCTTCGTTGTTCTTCGGGTACTCCAAACATCAGATCGCAAGGTAACCTGAGTTCCCTTCCAAAAACAATTCTAGCCGGACTTTCACCTGTTGAATCGTGAACAGCAGCTCTGTAAGCCATTAAAAATAAAGGCAAATGCTTGTCCCAATCTCGTTGGTTCTTTGCGACCACTTTTGTCAGGTGTTCCTCTATGGTCTTATTGAATCGTTCCACCATGCCATCAGACTGAGGGTGTAAAGGTGTTGTCCTGGTCTTACGGATTCCCATGATCTCACAAACTTTCTTAAAGATGGCAGATTCGAAGTTTCGTCCCTGGTCTGAATGTAACTCTAGTGGCACACCATGACGACTAAAAACTTCGTCCACTAGCACCTGGGCAACAGTGATGGCTTCTTGATTGGGAATAGCGAAAACTTCTGGCCATTTACTGAAGTAATCCATGATAACTAAGATGTATTTGTTACCACGCTCTGACTCTGGGAACGGTCCTGCTACATCTATCGCTATTCTTTCAGATGGAAGACCAACGTTGTACTGTTTCATGGGTCCCCGAGATCTTAGTTTGGGGCCTTTACTGGTAGCACAGATGTCGCATTTTCGGCACCAGCTTTTAACGTCTTCAGCAAACCATTTTCTACGGCCAGAGAGTTCCACTGGGACCACAATGCCTTGTAAATCAAGCTCTTGTTTGACACTTCTCTCCATTCTGGCCTACATTCATCATTTTCCTTAAGATGGAGAATCTGCCCGATGTCCTGGTCTGCTTCCTGGTCTTCTCTCATTTGTTTCGTAGACCACTTGTCATCAACGATCAGGCCCGTTCTTCTCACAGATGGACTAGTGTTCTTCTCATGTGGGTTTCCAGGTCGATGTTTAGGACTAGCGTCTCTGGACCTCCAAAAGCTTTGGGAACGATCCCTAGATGGAGAGGTCATCCTTAGTCTACAATCCCATTGCATGTGTCCAAGCCTTTGACACCGGTAACATTTTACTCGGTTTCTTGGTGTTGGTGTTTGCTTGGAGTTGTTTTCAATTTGTCTAATTTCTAGTACTAGTTTCTTCATCTTTTCCGTGAACTTACTCATAAGATTCTTGAAGCTACCATCTTCTTTTGACGTTTGTTCATCCTTTGGGTCTTGAATGGTCACTGCTCGTATTCTGGGTGTTGAAGCACCAAAGATTGCTTCCAGTTCTAATGCTCGGACAAGGGCTTCGCTACTTTTCCTGGACTTGGACATTCTTAGGTTTTCCTGGATTTTGGAATCCCGGAGGCCATCAATAAACGTAGATACTGCCATCCATTCTTGTATGTCTTCCCCAGCTGCAGGAAACGCCAAACTCACTAGCCTTTTAACTTCCGATTCGAATTCTTGTAGACTCTCGCCGGGTTTTTGAACTCTTGATTTAACTTGAGTTCTGAATACTTCTTGTCTGTAATGATCTCCGAAGCGCAGTTCTAAAGTTTGACTCAGATGCTGGTAATTCTGTTGGTAGATTGACGGAATGGACTGAAGAAGATCTAAGGCTGGTCCTCGTAGCGCCACTATTAGTGCTGTAGCTTTTTCTTGGTCGTTCCATCCGTTGGTATTTGTAGCAGCTTCAAATTGTCGAATATACATGGTCCAGGACGTAGAACCGTCGAAAGTTGGTGGTTTCATCTTCATACTGGAAAATGCTCCAACACTAGCTGAATTGTTGGACTGTATTTCTAATCTACGCATCTTATCTTCGAGTGCTTGAACTTGGTCCTCAACTTCTTGTCTTAATTGCTGAACATCGGTTTTGACTTCAGCTTTTACTTCTTGAACGTCGTGTTTAACTTCTTGCACATCGTCTTTAACTTGTTCAATCTTCTGGTCTAGGTTAGCGACAGTTCCTTGTATGGTTTGGAATATTTTCTGTAGTCTTCCAAGGTCCTCCTGCCGTTCTTGTTGTCGCTTAGCTTCTTCTTGTTGTCGCCTAGCTTCTTCTTGTTGTCGCCTAGCTTCTTCTTCTTGTTTTTCTTTTTGTCGTCTGGCCTCTTCTTGTTGTCGTCTAGCTTCTTCTTCTTGTTTTTCTTGTTGTCGTCTGGCTTCTTTGTCTTGTTTTTCTTGTTGTCTTCTAGCCTCTTCTTGTTGTCGTCTAGCTTCTTCGTCTTGTTTTTCTTGTAGTCGTCTGGCTTCTTCGTCTTGTTTTTCTTGTATTAGTCTGGCTTCTTCGTCCTGTTTTTCTTGTTGTCTTCTAGCTTCTTCGTCTTGTTTTTCTTGTTGTCGTCTGGATTCTTCGTCTTGTTTTTCTTGTAGTCGTCTAGCTTCTTCGTCTTGTTTTTCTTGTTGTCGTTTGGTCTCTTGAAGTTCCAACATTTTGCGCAGGAGTTCTTCAACTTTTTATTCGTCCATTTTGGCTTGTTGTCTTGTGATAGGCATATACAGAATGTTCTAGAATTTCCCTCGAACTTTCTTCAAATATCTTTTCTGGTCGATCTTTGCTTGAAGTTCCAAAAACGCCGGTGAAGTTACAAATTGGATAACTTGCTTTATTCTAGAATAGAATGTTCTGGAATTTTCTTGAAACTTCTTTTCTAGATGTCGATTGATACAGTAAACACGTCGGTGAAGTCACAATTTCGATATCTCCCTTGGTTTCCAAATAGAATGTTCTAGAATTTTCCCGAAACTCCTCGAAAACCCTCTTCTGAATGACGATTGATGTTCCGAATACGTCGGCGAAGTCACAAATTCGATATCTCCCTTAGTTTCCAAATAGAATTTTCTAGAACTCACTCGAAGATTCACTATTAAAGTCTAAATCGGGTATAGAGTCACTTCCGGGGTAATCCACACGATCGGTTGAGTCTCTTTTTGTGATTGTCACTGTTTGCACTGCACTAACTGTCCCAGTGTTCACTTAGTGTTCAGTTTTTATACTACACTAGTGTCCCGTGAAATGGCTTATCAATAAAAAAAAATATTATTTTTTTATTGATAACCTATTTCACTTATTTAAAGTACTCCTCAGCGTGTTTAAATCCAACATTCAAAAACGCGCGTGTTTTAAAGTTACCAATGACAACATCAAATAAAATATAACAAGTGTCAAGCACGAATTAAGCATTCTACAATTATTAGTAATTTATGATTTGATTGAACGTATACCAATAAAAAAAAATAGTGTAAAGTATTCGTGTATAACTGGTCTTTAAAACACTTGCTCTATTTCGAGCACTCCGGCTGCGCCGTCGTGCTCGAAAAATCGCTTAATATCTACTTATACTTTAATATACTATTTTAATTTTTGTGTGGCAATTTCGTAGACATTGTAGGACGTAAAATAAGTCTTGTAACTCGGTAACTCCATAATGCAGAAGTTTGGCTCGTTTAATTACATCATCGTCTATAGAATTTGCCATAAAATAGATATTGAGGCTACGTTGCCATTTCTCCCAATCGTCAGTTAACCGAAATTGTTTGATTTCTCTGCTTGTCGACTCCATTTTGAGTTGTTAGCCTGGAACAATTAATTATTCAAATTAATTTTCTAGGCTTTTCCGGCATGGTGCAATTATTTTATTTATAGTGCATACAATAATTATGCTTTATGTTTTCGTGCATACATTTATGCTTGC